AAGGATTAACAGAGTTGGAAGGGACCTTGTAGGTCATCTAGTCCAACCCGCTGCCCAAGCAGAAGAGGAAGATCGGGGCGGGCGGAAAAAAAGAGCACCCAAGATGCGCGTCTTGGAACTGGAGGATGCCGAAAGTTTGTGGGCGCCCCCCCCCCCCCCCCCCCCCCGTTGCAACCAGCAGATACTTAAACGTGCCTCGCTCGGCCGTGGCTTCGTTGTTTGAAGCTAATCTTTCCTTCTGCAACCTCTTTCCCTCCTTCCTCTTCTTCTTCTTCTTCTTCTTCCCTTCCTTCCCGTTTTTGGCTTGGGCAAGAATCAAAATTGGCCCACGAACAGAAGAATCTTTTCTGAACTCGGTGACCATATATGATAAAATGCAGTTGTAAGCAAAGCTATTCTTGGCGTGTAGAACGGGGTCCCCAAACTTGGCAACTTTAAGACTTGTGGACTTCAACTCCCAGAATTCTCCAGCCAGCAGAGCTGGCTGGAGAATTCTGGGAGTTGAGGTCCACAAGTCTTAAAGTTGCCAAGTTTGGAGACCTCTGGTAGAATAAAGAACAATTCCTCGGTGGAACAACTTCCTTCCAGAAGTTATGGAAGTTTTAAAGAAGAGATTGGACAGCCATTGGGCTGAAATGGTACGGGGAGTCCTCAACTCATGGCCTCAATTGAGCCCCCAAGTTTCTGCTGATATGGTCGTAAGTGTGAAAAGTGGTCCTATCTCACGTTTTCAGTGCCGTTGTAACATTGAACGGTCATTGAAATGAACTGTTATATAAGTGGAGGACTGTGTAGGGATTCCTGCCCGAGCAGGGGGCTGGACTAGAAGACCTCTAAGGTCCCTTTCAACTCTTGTTATTCTGTTTTTTGGTGTACATAGAATCATTCAACGTTTTCTTTCCCCTGGGAAGAAACACCCGGCTGATCTCTGCGTGTCCCGCTCTCACCCTGGAAGCACTACAGCCCTGCCATGGATTTTCTCCTCCAAATATATTTTAAAGCTCAAAACATTATCCAACTCACCCGACATTCGTTTCAATTATGCTGCCTTTTGATGTGATATGTATGTTGATGGCAGCAGCAAGATTACTTTATGCACAAACATGAGAAGGGCATTTCCATTTTTGGAAGAACAGCTGCAAAAATGGGTGGCGTCAGCTGAGGTGGTGAAATTAACTGTTTTAATTAAAGAAAAAAAAACATAAATGACTTTTGCTTCTACTTGGGAATTGGACTTTGTGCTTGAGGTGGGGAAAAAAATGAAACTTTAATTTTGGGTTTTACTGAATAGATAGGTTTGTTGTTGTAGAAATTGTTACTTTATACTACTCTGTAAAAAATAAAAAGTTGAGGTTTGGTGCTATTATCTTATTTTACTGCACCAAAAGAAGTTGGAAGTCAATGCCTTTTCTTTCTTTTTTTTCCTTTTTTCCTCTAGTTTTGCCTTCCCTTTTCCCCCCCACTTCTCCCTCCTATTTTTTTCTGTATTTTTTCTATTTTATAACAGCAATAATACTTAGACTTATATACCTCTTCACCGTGTTTTACAGCCCTCTCTAAGCGGTTTACAGAGTCGGCCTCTTGCCCCCAACAGCTTGGGTCCTCGTTTTACCGACTTCAGAAGGATGGAAGGATGAGTCAACCTGGAGCTCATTAGAATCCAACTGCTGGCAGTGGGCAGAATTAGCCTGCAATACTGCATTCTAACCATTGTGCATCATGGAAGGAAGGGAGGGAGGGCAATAGCAATAGCACTTAGATTTATATACCACTTCACAGTGCTTTCTAGCCCTCTCTAAGCACTTTACAGAGTTAGCCTTTTGCCCCAGTCTGGGTCCTCATTTTACCACCTTGGAAGAATGGAAGGCTGAGTCAACTTTGAGCAGTTCAGGATTGAACTGCTGGCAGTGGCATTCTAAGCACTGTGCATCGGATGGATGGATGGATGGATGGATGGATGGATAGATGGATGGATGGAAGGAAGGAAGGAAGGAAGGAAGGAAGGAAGGAAGGAAGGAAGGAAGGAAGGAAGGAAGGAAGGAAGGGAGGGCAATAGCAATAGCACTTACTTATATACCACTTCAGTCAGAGTCAGCCTCTTGCCCCCAACAATCTGGGTCCCCATTATACCCACCTCAGAAGGATGGAAGGCTGAGTCAACTTTGAGCCAGTCAGGATTGAACTGCCAAACTACTGGCAGCTGGCGGTGGGCAGAATTAGTCTGAAATACTGCATTCTAACCACTGTGCCACCCATGGCTCTAAACTTTTTTTTTAAAGGGAAAACAATTATGCAACGCTGGGAGCACTGAACCCCAACAGAGTTCCTTAACTGGGAAAGAGCACTTTGGTAACGACAGCCCCGGCTAGTCAGTTTCAAAAGCGAAGTGAAACCGATGGCGGGATTCCCCTGCTTGTATCAGCTGAGTTCCCAGGCTAAGCGGAGGCGGCCCTGTTGAGGTTTGGGATGGGAACGAATGCAGAAGTCCAGAACCTCAAGGAAAACGTTGCAAAACTGTGGCGGTGCCAAACTCCTTCTGCGGTGTTGGCAGCATGATTAATGCACGGAAAATTTGACAGGCCGGGAATTGTGGTCTGTCCAAAGGAGGGTTGGATGGATACATTCACCCTGTAGGTGCCACAGGGGTGGAAACTGATTGTGGCCCAATGTGAGCACCACTTAAATAAGCAGTCCTGCCTGAATACATTACCAGTAGTCCCCGACTTACAACAATGCATTTAGTGATTGTTTGAAGTTACAAGTTGCCTCCAGAAATGGTGGATGCTCCATCACTGGAGGTTTTTAAGAAGAGACGAGAGGCAGTCCCTTATCTGAAATAGTATAGGTTCTCCTGCTTGAGCAGGGGGCTGGACTAGAAGATCTCCAAGGTCCCTTCAAGGTCATTCTAGTCTAGTCTAGTCTAATTCTGTTCTAATTTCCTCCCTCCCTCTTCCTCTTCCTTCTCCTTTTCCTCCTGCTTTCTATTCTATTCTATTCTATTCTATTCTACTCTACTCTACTCTACTCTACTCTACTCTACTCTATTCTATTCTGCATTCCATTCTGTATTCCGTTCTGCATTCTATTCTATTCTTTCCTATTCTGTTCTATTTTATTCTTCATCCCAATATTCTATTCTATTCTATTCTATTCTATTCTATTCTATTCTATTCTATTCTATTCTATTCTATTCTTCACTCCATTATTCTATTCTATTTTCTATTCTATTCTATTCTTCATCCTATTCTATTCTATTCTATTCTATTCTATTCTATTCTATTCTGCATTCCATTCTGCATTCTATTCTATTCTTTCCTATTCTGTTCTAATCTATTCTTCATCCCAATATTCTATTCTATTCTATTTTCTATTATATTCTTCATTCCATTATTCTATTCTATTCTATTTTCTATTCTATTCTATTCTTCATCCCATCCTATTCTATTCTATTCTATTCTATTGTATTCTGCATTCTATTCTGTATTCCATTCTGCATTCTATTCTATTCTTTCCTATTCTGTTCTATTCTATTCTTCATCCCAATATTCTATTCTATTCTATTCTATTCTATTCTATTCTATTCTATTCTATTCT